GTTTTCCTATAATCTAATGAAGAATCAATATGAATATCCTTATGATCGAACAATGCATGTTCTCTCCATTCGTTACCGAGATTTTGCAAGTTCAAAATACATACATAAGTTGAAAATATAACGATGGAATGAAAAAAATTCTCGAAAACATTTTGAATATTTAGCAGCAAATGCAGATGTGCTTAAGCGCGAAAAACACCACACAAGGGGCTTGACAAATCAAGCGAAATATCCCTTTACTTAAAGCTATTAATGTTGTGTATGGGGGTGTTTGAAGGTTTGACAAGCCGTTTGAGAGAAATGTGTGACAAAAATCACAATTTTTTGATTCTCTGACCGCCATGTTGAGGTTTGATCAAACCGCTTACGTTGTGTATGATAAAATCGCCTCATTCGCAACGGAATTTTTACCGAATGAGGACGCAAGAGAGAAAAATCGAAGACAACCAAACCCTTTTACATTGTGAACCGGAAGAAAACTAAAATTCTTTGCTTGAACGAGTCATGTTTGCATGGTGCAGTAGCGTAGCCAGGGGGGAGATATGGGGGGATAGATCCCCCCCCTTCGACATTGAACTACAATTATTTACTTTTGAATTAATAACACAATACTATTTTATCCTTCTGATTTAAAATTATTTCAGACGGATGACAAATTATCTTTTAATGAGTATATGAGTAGTCCACTTGCAAACAGCGTTATGTGAATGGGAGCCTAAATCCAAAATTAAAAAAAGTGACATTTTGAACGGTATTTTGAGGGTTAAGTTATTGTTGTTGGAACTTCTCTATAGTTTTCCTATATTATATGATAATTTATATTCAAGATAAAAAAATTTTCATTGCATTATCTCTTTTCTAAGCGAAGATCTACGATTTTGAAAAAAAACCGTGTTTTGCCTATAGTTCGACGCCTCTAGCCATTGTGTATCACAACTTTAAGTTGTCGATGCAAATTTTTTTTAATCCCTCCCCTTCGCCAAATCCTGGCTACGCCACTGGCATGGTGTATGGCGAAATGGGGAAATAATGTTTGACAAGCCGCTTGTGTAGTGTATTTCGCCCTTTATAACACTTCGGAAAGCTTTTTGTTCAAAAATTTGCAGAGAGATTTAACAATTCTCTTGTGTAAAACGTGGTTGCTTTTGCTATCTGCAAATATATCTTGAGAAAATTCCACAAAAATTCCCCAAAATAAAAATACTCAAGCGCTCCCGAAATTCCTCACGTTTTGAGGAATTACTCATACAGTGGCAAAACTGACTATATTTCAAAAAAAATATAAGGCTGGCTGCACTGAACAATTGCTCACTTGGAACGCTGGCGATGGGAGCGCTCAAATATTTGCGGGCCAGATCTGGCAATTTGTGGTATTTTAATTTAGTTTTCCACCAATCGAGAGGATTTTCAACGAGATGAGCTCGTTTTTCTTAAAGATAGGCCTGAGATTGAGCTTTAATTTCACATTTTTTAATGTCTCCAAATTCTACATCCGAGCCTTCGCTTTCGCTGGAGGAATCTAAAATTATTTCTAGGTTGCTTTTTAGACTTTTAGCAGCACTTATTGAAGGCCCACCATGTTGCTTGATATACTACTTAACCGTTTAGCGCCTAAAGCTAAAATACGGTTATTGTCCGCACCCTGGCTAGACAGACTTAGAGCCATTTCAACAATATTAGAGTGGACTCTGTGCCAATGTTCACATTCGCATTTGCAAAACATTCGTGTACAACATACATAAGTATATTGTTCTACATCAGTTCTACATAAATTACTATTGGGGTGTTGGTACATAGACTCTGCCGCCTTCACCTTCCCGAATATTTTCAATGCTCCCTCGATAATTTTCTAATCTCTGCACGTCGATCACTAGGCTTCCGTAAATATACCTCCAGGAATTCATCTAGATCTTGAACCCTACCGCAAGTCTCCTAACTTTCTAGTCAAATTTCTAAAATGGCTAGAGGCGTCGCACTATAGGCAAAACACGAGTTTTTTTTCAAAATCGTAGATCTTCGCTTAGAAAAGAGATAATGGAATGAAAATTCTTTTATCGTGAAGATAAATGATCATATAACATAGGATAACTATAGAGAAGTTACAACAACAATAACCTTACCCTCAAAATACCGTTCAAAATGCCACTTTTTTTTAATTTTGGATTTTGGCTCTCATTCCACTAGAAAACACTATATTTAATACACCATTAGCACTGTTTCTTAAAGATTTCTCTTTATTTTATCTTAAGACTCGATTTTTGGGACATTGGATGCTGTACCCGAGTGGCCAGATTGGAAAAAGAAAAGCTACCTTTAAACTCTAGTAACTCGTAAACTATCAGCTTTCACAAAAAAAATTTATATAACAAAAATGGTTATACTGGTCGATATCTTTACGAAAGTATAGCATTTAACCCTTGTCTGTCATATATGAAACGCTTTTTAATCCTTTCAAGGCAGAGGCAAAATGGTTCTCAATATGTTTTCAACGTACTTTTTATTTATTTTTATTTTTTATTTAACTATTTTTATTTTTAATATTTATATTTTTTTATTATTATTTTTTTATTATTATTATTTTACTATGGAAAAATTTTCTACGGTTAATATCTACGTCAACATGAGGAAAAGCACGTCAGATGCATATTGAGAACCTTTTTCCTCTGCCTTGAAAGGGTTAAAAAGCGTTTCATATATGACAGACTCTGCATTAAAGGGTTAAATGCTGCATTCCATTATCTCTTTTCTACGATCTACGAGATGTACGATTTTGAAAAAAAACTCGTGTTTTTCCTATAGCGCGTCGCCTGTGGGCATTCTTCCATATATGTATGCATGTGCCATTTCTACCGTTATATATTTTTTGTCTACTCGGTTATTCCATGGGGAATTCATGCTTTATATAAATTTAAAAAATTAAATTACTACACCATTTTAATTAATTAGTGTGTAGTCCAGTTTGGTTTTGTAGAAGTTTCGTTAGTATACACTTCAGTTTTTACACATTGAATATATCTGCATATTTATATATTTACGCGTATCTATTTACATTTATTTATCTACAAGTCTACAAAATCTTATTACTTATAAAGCGATTTTTAATCTTTGTTGCTTAACACACATTCTTTCAATTACTTCTTGTGTTGTAATCGGCACATCATTATCTACCGCTAACATCATTAAACCATTCAGCCGCTCCTTAATTGTATAAAAAGAAGCCGACAAATAAGATAGCATATTCAACAATTGAGTAGCCCACTTGCAAAGTGCGCTATGTAATTTTTATTTTTAGATGTTTAGTTTTTGGTGGGTTTCATGTCCACTAACAGCAGACTGAAATTTTTTCTATATTCTGAAAAAAAAATAGCATGAAATGTTAACTACTCTTGCAAAAGTCGCTATAATACTTATTTATACACTTTCAAATGTCTCCTCTTCGTATGAACTTAGAAAACTGCAAGAAAACGTGGTAGTTTCGGTGTCTAGTGGAAGAGGTCAAGGAAGCAAACTAATCTTCCTAGAGGAGAGAACGCGAAAAGCTAAAAAAGCTAGCTATGTAAAAGTTACTGTTTCAAAACTTGCAATATTAAATTTTTAAATATAAAATTTGCAAATCTACCATACTGCAATGCTATTTTTTAATGGTATTAGGGTCATATTTATCCAAATTTTCAGGTAATAAAAAAAGATACAGTTCGGATGTTTTTTATTGTCGTAGACGTTTTTTTTTAAATATGGTTTGCTTTTATAAAATCACATAACGCTGTTTGCAAGTGGACTACTTATATATTCATTAAAAGATAATTTGTCATCCGTCTGAAATAAAAAAAATTTCAAATCAGAAGGATAAAATAGTATTGTGTTATTAATTCAAAAGTAAATAATTGTAGTTCAATGACGAAGGGGGAGGATCTATCCCCCCATATCCCCCCCTGGCTACGCCACTGGTATGGGGGGGCAATGACAATCCATGGAGTTGTTAAAATTTTGTGACTGGAGTGTTACGTTAACTGCCCCGCCTACATTGGCATCATTAAAGACGGCCTTATATCAAGTATTGAAGGGCTAAGCGAGCACGTAACAAAAATAATTTTTCAGGATGATTCCGCACCTTGTCACCGCTCCATAGCGGTAAGCGTACTGCCGTAATTAGGCATATTGAGATTTTTATTTTAACAAATTGTCTATAACACAACATTTACCTCTTAATAGGTGAATGAGTACAAGTCTCTTTTGGGGATTGAGTCCATGTCATGGCCGGGGAATAAATAGCCCCGACCACAATCCGATTGAGAACATGTGGTCAATTTTAAAAAGAAAGGTACGCCAGCAAAAGTCGAGTAATCTCAAAAAGTTGAAAGAAATCATTGAGATTTCTTGGTATAACGCTATTTCGCCAGACTTGATTCGCAAACTGTACGAAAGTGTGCCTTCCCGAGTGCAATGCGTGATCAACGTGAGAGGAGGTCATACCCGGTATTAATATTGTTTGTTTTTTAATGTTCTTACGAAATGAATAATAATGTTGATATTATAACAAAAAGTGCAAAAACTGATAGTTTTTGAATGCAGTTCAGTTTTCTTTTTCATGCAAACAATTAAATATGCATTAAGGAAACTAGTGATAACAGCTTTAAATAAATAAATTTATAACATATTAGATGGAGCTAATGAGTAGACACAACTCAGCGACTTTTGATATACAAGTTGAATAAATTTCTTTGATTTTTTTGCAAAATAAAAGACAGCTCTAAAAAATGGCAAGCATTAAGGCGTCTCCCTCCAGTTTTGTAGTCTCTTTTTTAGAATTTGACAATATTCGTAAAACTCTCTCGCTGAAGATTTTAGCTGGAATCAACTGGATGACACATGCAGAATTTAGCCTTTTTGGTGACTCTTACACTAGAAATAAAGTATTTAACTTTTCGCCTATACTACTATACTATACATAGTATTTCCAATTAAAATTTAACATCTCGCATTTTTTTCGATCTTTTCAGAATACAACATAATCAAAACAATTCCGGCCTGCTTTGTCGTAGTCGACGACCGGAAGGAGCTCCTTCACCAATAGCATCGGACACATCAGATTCAGACATTTCATTGGGCACCCACTCACCTGTTCCTAGTAGTATTCAACTACAGCACAGTCCGGGTTCTACATCGAATGGCGCTAACGATCGTGAAGAGAGTCTCAGCATTGATGGTGATAAACCACGCGACTTGGCCACCTCTTTATCAGCTAGCAATTTGGTAGCAGCATCCAGTTATGCTACAACCGCACCGCTATCCACCTGCTTGCCAGCCTTCAAATTGGACACAGCCACCAGTCTCTTCAATGCCGGTTGTTATTTGCAAAGTTTTAGCAACCTCAAGGAAATGTCCCAACAATTCCCGATACAACCCATCGTCATCAGACCACAACCACATTTACCGGCACAGGCGCATGGCTTAAATGGCAGCCATCTGCATGCCGCCGTTAACTATCCGCCACCACCTGCATACGCGGTGGATTGCACACCACCGAAAATACGCGTCAATTCTCCAGAAAAGCTCAACTCCACGGCCAACAGTATAGCGGCGACCCTGAGTACGGTGGCCGCCTTACAGGACACTTCGGTGTATCAGCATCATCACCATAGCGCTCAGATGTTGCATCGACCATTCTCAACGTCGCCAGAAATACCACACAATAATCACAACGCTGCACCATCAGAGATCACATGATACACCAACCGTAGACACCTAAACAAGTACTAAAACTCGACACCAGTAAAAGTAGTAGATATGCGCATTTGGATCCGCGTCTAAACTATGTGTTTAGTGTTGAAGAAATTCGGGATGTTCGAAAATCGCTTCCTACTCCTATTTCCAACCTTCATCACGTTGCACATTAGGTCAAAAGATTACTTTTTCTGTGCGAAATTAATAGCGGCTAAAATATTGCATTATTTTAATGTAAAAAGATGGCAAACGTTAAAAAAATTTAAAGGAAGTAAATAAAATGTGACAACATGACTTGGCTTTCGTAAAACAGACTTTTCTGCTTTTTTGTATGTTCAATTGATGAGTATATGTGTTTAGGTAGTACTCAAAAACATTGTCCAATTAGCTTGGTTTTGACACAAGTTATTTTCTTACCATACTCAACCCCGTCCCCCTTAAAATGAGTATGTATGGTCACATGTACATAAATGGTTTCTTCTAGCGATTAATTATGGCATTATCGAAATTCCTAAATTAAAAACAGAAAAATATTTATTACATATCTCGCAGATATGCCTTGAGGTATCTCCTGCTTCCTAAAGCAGTTAGTCTTCATAAAACACTTCATTTTCATTTGAGGTTTCAGTATTCCCAAATTCCCCACCGATATTATTTATATTCAGAATGCAAATGCTGCTTTGTGACACATTTACCAAAAATCGCTGCTAACTTCCTGAAAAGAATACGAATGGTTTTGAAACTAATATGTGAAAAGAATGTTCAAAGCTCTATTCACTTTGACTAAAAAATTTCGAAATTTCAATCCGTAAGTTCTCTCAAGGATTTGCCTTTTTGCGAAGGCTGCTCATCAATGGTCTTTGCGAATCGGCGCAAGTGTATTTGTAATATAGTCACGGCTACGCTACAGGAGATAAAATGTAATCCAAATTGAGGCTCCTATTTTTTTGCTATCACAACTTCCATTTTCACTATTTATCATAATTAAAAGGGATTATTATTATTAGGCTAAGCTATTTTTAGCAAAAGGGAGAAAAGAACCGCAAATTTTGGAGATAGCTAAAAATTCGGAAAAATGTTAGGTTTCCCATTTTAGCATTTTAGCGAAAGTTAGAATCCGGCTGATGGTCGACACAGTTGGTTTTTTGATTTCGAAAAGAACTTCGTCAGCAAGAAACGCTATGTTTTCAGATATAAATATTTTTGCATCCTTTCCAAATTGTTTTCCATAATTTTCATCTTTCTTTGATAAATAATTGCAAAAAATACGCGTTTTTCTTCTAAGAGTTTCATGGAACTTTCGCAAATATCTTCTGCACCAAATTTTTTTTCAACATGGTTGACAATCGAAAAAAACTTTTTTTTTTCGAACATCCAATCAGCCAAACTTCAAACAACTAGCCTTTTATAATAGCATGATAGTCCAGATAAAACCGTTTTTCTTGAAAACGGCTAAAAACGGCGGGTTAAGTAAAACAAAATCAATTCATTACATCTTAATTTATCCACTTCCATTTCCAATTTGGTTGCCGAATGTTAACAAAATTGTAAAAGCTTACATAAAATCATAAATGGAAAAATCAGAAAATTTTTGAGATTATGCCAATAAGTCAGTTTGTTTTCAAACAAATAATAAAAAGTCACTTTTTTAAATTGGGACATAAGTTCTCACTAACATATATTTTTGTATCCCATTTAAAATTTTTCTTTAATTATTCGAACTTTCCAAAAAAACGCACTCGAAACTTACAAAATAAACCGCAAACAATGTGTCAATAACATTTTGATAGTGTAAATTTGGTTTATTGCTGTATAACGGTGTTTTTGTTTTACAAAAACTAAGTGAAGTTTCTGTTATTTTGGAGTATTCCCTACAAAATGGCAACAAAAAAATAATATGAAACTGCCCTTACGAAATTGGACTTTCGCACAGTCAAATGAATCATTTTACCTAATGTGCGTTGGGTTATAAGTGAATATACATATTAGAGATTTACCATTGACAAAAAGTTCCTTCCTTTAGACTACTGCTAGAGAGTTTATTTTGATGAACTACCAGGATATGTTTGCAGATATTTCACAACTGATACGAATAACATATTTGTATTTTATCATTTTCGTTGTCGGTGTTTCCGACAGGGTAGGAGTGTGATGTAATGTGGAACGATTTTCCGTCATCCCTTGTCAAATTTGGTTTGGAGACAAACCGGTTTCGGCGTTGTGCCATCTTCAGTGAGAACGAAAAATGACACTGAAGATGGCACAACGCCGAGACCGGTTTGTCTCCAAACCAAATTTGACAAGGGATGACGGAAAATCGTTCCACATTACATTTGTATTTTACTTCTTACACTTTGATGCGGGATTAAGAAGCAATTTCTATGTATTTTCAGTAAATGTTTTATTTTCAATAAAAATAAATACTCTATGGCTTTTAGTGGTTGTCTCTGAGCCACTTTTACATAAATAGCTTCTTGTTTCGAGAATCATTTGCACAACTGCTCACGGATTTTTGAAAAAGAAATATCCAAAGTACTTATAATCCAAATATATTTGTGAAAATTTAAAAATTAATATATCCTAAATTTCGCATGCTTCAAGATAAATATTTACACTTTCTCCTGCAAAAACGACAACGTTAAATTTTTATACATAATTGTTTTTAAAATAACTTTATTTTTTAACCGACTTCACAAAAAGGAGAAGGTTATCAATTCATCGGAATATATATGTATATATTTTTTTTTTTATGTATGTTACCGCATATCTTTGGACCACGTTAACCGATTCCTATAAAATTGGATCATGAAGAAATTAACGATAGCCTTAAATTTGTATATGAGAATTGAAGTCGGTTTTGTGTTTTGCTTAAAAATTACTTGTAAAATATATATATATATATTTTTGTTATTCACGCCACAAGGCAATTATGCAGAAATTTGCATCAATAGATCAAAGTACGTTTTCATACATATGTATGTAAAGATTAGCGTCATTTTCGAGCTTAACTGAATAATCTGTACCTAATTAAAAATACGTAACGGTTAAAATTAACTTTAAATGTATTTTTGAATAAGCTATCGATTACAATTCGTTTGAAATTGATTTTCTTCACTTCAATTTTATGTTTTTTACGCTGCCTGTTGTTTTCGCTGCTTGTTGTTGTCACCCAAACTTTGCGAGAAAATAACGCACCTACGCATTGCGCAACCTCTTATCAGTGATCGGACTTCTACCACATTGTGGTAGATCTGCCACTGTTTTGAGCATCTACCACATACTCGCGTTTTTGAGTAGCTTTATTTTTGCTGGACATAATTTTCTTAATTTTAAGAGCAAAAATTGTCCAACACTAAGCACTTACAACAGGCAGAATGGGAGGATAAAATAAACTGTAAAATAGTAAATTTTCCCAATATTCAATTTTTCTAATAATCTATAAAACTAGTTTCAGGTGCGCAGGTAATAAATTTATGAATTTCAACATTTCACTTAATAAATATTACTTCCAAAATTACTTGTACAAGGGCTATGTAAAAATATTTGTCATCTAGAGGCGAGCACCCGCTCGTGGGTGTCACCATAATATTGGTATAACTTTAGAACTACTTGTTGTCTAAACATGAATAATAATAATAATAATAGATTGGCGCTTACACATATGTTAGTGTTTGGTCTAAACATGAAACTTTCGCAAAAATTTCCGTATATATTTGTCTATAATGCTGCATTAAAACAAAACAAAAATTTTAAACTTCATAACACAACTTTTGTATTTGTAAAAACCACCTCCTAAATTTTTATGAAAAAGTTAAAATATCCGCCATTTTCTTCTTAGTAAGTATTAAGAAGTATAGTTAAACGCATCCTCTTTAGGATAGAATCTACTTTATTGTGTAAAAATTTCAAATCAATCGATACACAAACGTCTGAGATATAGTGAGTTTAAGTCAAAATTTCGCAAAAATTGGTCGCTGTGAAAAATCAGGTTTTGTGGCTTTTCCGACATGAAAGCGTGAAAACAAAAAATCGCCCTGGGACCGTATGCGCAGAGAGACGCAATTTTTATTTCGCGCATTGCGCGACCTTCTATGTTTAGATCTTGCGTGTGAAGTGAGCATGAACAGTTGTTCTATGGCGTGCCGACCTTTGGTTGAAAGTATGCGAGAGCTCGTGAACCCCTCGGTATGCGATAAAAAGTATGCTGCGTACTTTTTGCGGTCTAAATGAGTAGGATCTCGCATGCGTCATCACGCAAGCGAGATTTTCCAGCACGTGAAGACAGCCGGTTAAGATATTTCATTATAGTGCCAGGCACTAAGAGAGATAACCGTTATTAAGCAGGGCCGGATCTACGGGGGGTGAAATAGGGGAAATTTCCCCCCGTGAACTTTGTATGTTTTTTCGAAGAACACTACTTTTGACCAATTTTTTTAAGGTCAAGGAGTAGTTGTGGCTCAATGGCCACAATTAAAAGGGATTTACTTTAGCTTTCAAAACCATTTTGTTTCATATCATAATGCTGCTTCTGTCGAAAGCGCTACGATTAATTCGCATGCAGTGTTCAAAAAGCACACTGTGCGGCTTGTGAAAGAACAAGAGATGTATTTTAAAATGCTGTGCATATTTTTCAGACATGAGTTCAGCGACAAAAAAAGTGAAATTCCCCTATTTCCCTCAATCCCCCCCCTCCCCCCACACATATATCCGGCGCTAAATAATTTGCCGTTGTGTTTTTGTATGAAAAAGTGAAAACATTTATCTATAAATGTGGAAATTTCATTCCGCTATGTATTTCTCGTGTTGTATATTTTAAGATAAATTATTTTCAGTTTTGTCTCTCCATAACATGGACAAATATAGGCATTTTTCAAAATAATTAAGTATAGGTCAGCATACGGATTATAATCTGAAATGTTTAACAATGATATACTTTCTTCAAAAATCCGAAAATCATCGAGGAACAGTTGACGTGGTTTTACGCTACTATTATTAAATCATTATAAAGGTCGTGAGCTAAAAAAAAATTAAAAAAAAAATATTCAAACAAATTAATCACAAAATCACGATATTAATATTTTAAAGCTTTATGTACACATGTATGTATGTATGTGCATACGTACGTGTTAAGAGATATATAATTTTTACTGCACAGTCTAATTTTTGTTACATCACATTATTTTATAAAAATTGTAATATATGCATCTATGTACAATAGACTGCATCACTCCCCATAGA